CGGCCTCTGCTTGTTCGGTTTCAGTTTCAAGCTGCAACTCTATCAGATCGCCACAATTTAATGGATTTTTTTATGAAAACCTATCCATAACTTTTTGAGTAATTGTATGAAAAGACGAACAAACATATCAACGCTAACAATTACATAACCTCCTTGGAGGTAAAAAAAATAATAATAACAAAAACAAAGAACAGAGAAAGATCCAGAGGTTGCTGTTTAGTACTGCATTGATTATTTTGGTGGTACTAAAGTTTGATTTCGTTTTTCACTAGTAAAACATGTCACGAAACCTTCTTTCTTTCACTATATACACAAAACTTCAAGTTCTCTTCTCAATACCCAAACACAGAGTTGTAAAGTAACTGAGTACAAATACTTCTTTACTGTACTTAAGAAGAATTTTTGGGTATCTGTACTTTGTGTAATAATTTTTCAGCCAACTTTTTACATTTTTACAGTTATCTGTACTTTCTACTTAGTACATTTTTAAAAAAGGTAAGAAGTAGAAAGTCGTTACTCCTATTTCATTACAGCTTGTTGTTAAAAATTATTATCCTCCTGGATCGAGMGAATTTAACTGTGGTTGGATGAGAAATATAAATATATATTATTCTGATCCTGTATTAGTTTGTACACAACCCATCACAGCTGCAAATAACACAAATTATGTCACACTCCAGCAGAACATAGCAGATATACTGTGACAGGTGTAGTGAATCCTAAATTTTTTTAACATTAACATTTTTATATGACAATGTAGCCATTTTGACCTTTAGAAAAACGTTTTTTGAGGGTCTCAACTCCCAATAAATGTCATTTTGAGAAGTGTAGCCACTCATTTATACTCAGTACTTTTAATACTTAAATAGATTTTGTGTCAGCAATTTACTTTTGATACTTAAGTACAAGATATATTAGATACTTTAAGACTTTTACTCAAGTAATATTCTTAGAGGAGACTTGAACTTTTACCATAGTAAATTTATGGTAAGATACTTGTACTTTTACTCAAGTATCAGTTTGTGGTATTTTATACAACACTGCCCAAACTTTCATTTCAAAATAGTAGCTTGTGTGCTGCAAAACTATAAATACAACATAAGTGATTCACTCTAGAACAAAAAAGCTGAAAACAATGTTCAGGGTGTGATGTCTTTTCATTATGGACCTACACAACAACCACTGGGCGGCATCACGTCATTGAACTAGGTTGGGCAAAGGGTTCCCTATGGGCCTGCTTTATGTGCCCCATTTGATGCTGGAGAACTCTGTGGTGGTCCAGCTGACATCGTTGATGGTCTCCAAGTTGGCAGTGTCAGTAATGACCCTCTCCTTGATTTCAGTCTGTGTTCTACTGATCTATAATAAAGGCTTTTTACAAAACTGGCAACCCTCCTGCCTCTTTCACCTCTAAAGAAACAAACGTGAATTTTCATGCATTCATAGGAAAATATAAATGCATATATTTTGCAATTTATTTGTACAACAGGGATGATGAGGTGAAACCTACTCCACTATACTGTGAATATTTATAGCTCAGGATTAAAGTACAGTAACATTGTGTTTTCTGAAGGACCAGATAATGAAGGCCACTGAGAACCTACTCAGGTTTGGAAGCTCTCTGTCCTGCTTCGGTCTTACACATGCCGTGGACAATGGCTCGATTGATAACTACAAGCCATGGCAAAAAGTATGGAATCACCAGTGTTGGATGAGCACTCATTCAGACATTTCATCCTGTAAAACAAACTCAGATCAAAAACATGATACAGTAATAAGGTCATTCCAAAGGTCAACTTGTTGGCTTTCAGGAACACTCAAAGAAATGAAGAGAAAACATTGTGGAAGTCAGTGAATGTTACTTTTATTGACCAAGCACAGGGAAAAAAGTATGGAATCACTCAATTCTGAGGAAAAAAGTATGGAATCATGAAAAACATAAACAAAAGACCATTCAAAATACATCACTAGTAGAAGTTTCACAATCCTCTCTTTTGTTTCAGAGACATTTCTCTTGTTGGAGCCATGGTTCTTGCCACTCCACTTGGTCCAGCAGCCCTCCAGGGTGTCATGACTGCAGGTGTTTTTAACTGCAGACTAACCAGCAGATCTAATCTGAGGCAGGTGTCCATTTAGGGAAAGGAACCTGACTGGGTGTGTCCTTATGTTCTACCTCCAGTTTGAGTGATTCTATACTTTTTCCCTCAGAATCGAGTGATTCCATATTTTTTCTGTGCTTGGTCAATAAAAGTAACATTCACTGACTTCCACAATGTTTTCTCTTCATTTCTTTGAGTGTTCCTGAAAGKCAACAAGTTGRACTTTGGAATGACCTTATTATTGTATCATGTTTTTGATCTGAGTTTGTTTTACAGAATGAAATGTCTGAATGAGTGCTCATCCAACTCTGGTGATTCCGTACTTTTTGCCAGGGGCTGTATTACTCTCATCTCATCTGCAATGAGTATGTCGTCGTCTCTCTCTCTCCCTCTGAATAAACTCTTCCTCTGTCCATTTTGTTGGTTTGAAACCTTCAGCAAGCTGTGCAGTCTGAACTGGCCTTTAGGATGATCACATCATTTGCTACAAGTGTCTTCAAGTTTTAGTTTTTTATTGAATTAAACCAGGCATGTTTCCTGTGGTTAAGTATTTCTGATGCTGTAGTCGAATTTTGCTTCACGAGCTTTAATGTGAGTTTGAATAGTTTTCTTTTCCAACTTGTTTTAACAAAATACGTTGAATTATGAGGAAAGGCATATGGAGTTTTGTGAATTGTATCTTTGTGTGAAATGTTTAAAATTTTAATGTTAAAGGAACTGGTCGTTTTTGGTTCAGAGCCTATGGTTTTGTTCACTCAAAAGTGAAAAACTAGAGAATGTTTCTATTGTATTATGTTGTGTGCCTGAGTCTAAGAGAATTTAAAAGGATTTTATTAAGCTGATCTTTAAAATATAAACAAACACATTGATGTGGATGTAATACTACTGGCACATATTTTGCAGTGCATTGTATGGAAGAGCATTGCATTCACCTAATAAAAAATGTTTGACTCCTGATCTCATAATTACGAGATCCTGATCTCATAATTACGAGAAAAGATGTCATAATCATGAATATCTCATAATTATTAGATAAGATGTCATAATTATGAGATCAGGATCTCATAATTATGAGATGTCATAATTACGAGAAAAGATCTCATAATTATGAGATCTCATAATTACGAGATCAGGATCACATTATGAGATAAGACGTCATAATTACGAGAAAAGTTCTTAAAATTATGAGATGTCATAATTACGAAATCAGGATCTCATAATGAGATGTCATAATTACGAGAAAAGATCTCATAATTGAGAGATCTCATAATTATGAGATAAGATGTCATAATTACGAGATCAGGATCTCATAATTATGAGAAACTCATAATTATGAGATCTTATCTCATAATTACGAGAAAAGATCTCATAATTACGAGATGTCATAATTACAAGATCCTGATATCATTATGAGATGTCATAATTATGAGATCCTGATATCATAATTACGATATTAAAGAGGGTCAGCTGATTTACACAGCACTATCACATTTTATATGCTTTTACTCCCTCTTAGGTATTAAATATTGGGCAATATTAGGTTTACTTAATGTGGATGGTGTTGTATCTATTATTGTGGGTTTATTAATCAATCCACCTGCACATCGGTTAGTTTTCTGTTCAATTCAGCTTCGGCACAAACATAACAGTCATTTCGCTTGTAGTGGTGCTTCCGGTGTCAGCAAATGGATATTTCAAAATAAGAGTCCGATTCAATTCAGTCCGAACACAACATAACAGAGATGGTGTGATGTTGTATGGATAATAGTATGTCGACACTACGCAGGTATCTTCCTTGCGGTTATTCAAGCGAAAAGCCCACTCTGACATACTGGAAGTCACTGACTTCCTGCAGTACGGGATGCTACGGCTGTTAGCTAATGCATCTGAAATGCCTAAATTATGTCCTGTATGTACACAAAGAGCACATACATCCTCCTGTTTCAACCCTGGGTCACAACTTTAACTCTGGTGAATTAACATTATACAGCTTGTTCTGGGCACTCGTGTGTTCGGCATCACACACATATACGTCCAGGACCATTACCTGCTCAAAATCCACAGGAAATAAGGATCTCGTAATTTTGACATATCTCATAATTATGAGATCCTGATCTCGTGATTATGACATCTCGTAATTATGAGATAAGATCTCGTAATTTTGATAAAATCTCATAAATTTGAAATTGGATCTCGTATTTATGAGATAAGATCTCGTATTTATGAGATAAGATCTCGTATTTATGAGATAAGATCTCGTAATTTTGAGATAAAATCTCGTAATTTTGAGATAAGATCTCGTAATTATGAGATAAGATCACGTAATTATGAGATAAGTTCTCGTAATTATGAGATAAAATCTCGTAATTATGAGATAAGATCTCGTAATTATGAGATAAGATCTCGTAATTATGAGGTAAGATCTTGTAATTTTGAGATAAGATCTCGTAATTTTGAGATAAAATCTCGTAATTATAAGATCTCGTAATTATGAGATAAGATCTCGTAATTTTGAGATAAAATCTCGTAATTATGAGACATAATCTTGTAATTATGAGATAAGATCTCGTAATTTTGAGATAAGACCTCGTAATTATGAGATCTTTTCTCGAAATTTTGAGATCAGGAGTCCTAATTTTTTTTATTTGGTGAATGCAATGCTCTTCCGTAGTATTGGCTTCTTAGCCTAATAACAAAAACATTTTTTTAGTCTCAAAGCTCCAAATATTTGTAGTTTTCTGCAGTTTGTTAAATGTAATTTCCTGTTTCATGTGATCATCAATTAATAATCTTTTGTCCGACATTTTTAAGTTTTTAACAAAGCACCCTGAATGACAAAACAGGTAAAAAAATCATTCATGGTTTTATATTTACTGAAACTCTCGGTAAAAAAGGCATCTATATTTTCTCAACAGTAGCAAAGGTTTATTCCAGACATGGGAGGGTTTAGAGGCCACAGAGTTCAGTTTCAGTAACAGAAGAAACAGATGTACAGCTGAACACCACATTTTACACCCAATCTAACTGCACAGAATGAGCACAACAAGCACCTGATGGCAAACAGGTGGAATGAGTTTTACATATTGCAACCCCAGTTTTCAGACAGACATTCTACTAAATTACATTAAAAAACAACTATTTGTTGTAATGTTCTCAGGTGTTGCACATATTACAGAAAAGTTGTTGTTTTAGGGATCTCAGGTTATTTATTATCACTTTCCACCTTTCAAACAGATTTGACATTTTGTGCCCCACGTGGTCCTGTCAGGTTCTGACATCCTCCGTTTCTTCTAGTTGGCCTCATCCTTGGATGCTTCATCAAAATTCTCCACCAGATCTGAAAGAACAAAGGACCGAGCTGTAAACTGACCCAGTGGGAGAGAAAAGTTACACGGATCACTCTCAGAGGTGCCAGAGCACGAATCAGGAAAAGTGTGTTTATCTGAAATAGGACACTTTATGTAACGGTCTCCTAACTGGTGTACACACAGCAATGTGTTCGACTTATGAGGTACCTCACATCTACTGAAACCAGCTGTGAAAATTATGGAGAAGAGCATCAAATGGTTGGTTTGACTACTTGATGAAATGTGAGAAATCTGCTTGTCCAAGTCCTGTCTCAGAGGGTCGGGGGTTAAAACGGAAACAAGTCAAAAGGTCTGGGTAAACATGTTCCCTTCAGAGGGAGAACAAAAGCAAATTGAACTCTTGTAACAACATGATGACGATGGCCGTTAACCCCTGAGCCATAAACTGCTCCAACTGCTGAACAAAAATGTAATTATTTGTAGCATCGCTGAGAGAAGTCTTGGGAAAAGCTGACATTTTTCTAATGGCAACCGCATGTGTTCGCTCCGTTTCCTCCAGGAAGAAAAGCAAACTGAACTGCACGATTTCATAAACACTGAACATGAGATTCAAATAAAAACTATGTTGTACCATCAGAAACAACAGATGAAGTCTATGTGACCTGTCTGACAAGCCACACCTAAACTTTATAACAGAAAAAAGAATCAAATGAGACCAGAAAGGCAGTGAGATGCCACTTAGCCTGATTCAGTCTTCGAAATGTGAAAGTTGTAATTTTAGACGAAAAAAATAAAACAAAAATAAAAAATAGCTGCGCACGGACATGTTCTTTAAACACGAGAAGCATTTTGGCTCTCACCTGGAACGTCATCATCTTCCTCTTCCACTGCTGCAATCGGTGCTTTTCCATCTGCAGCTATAAGGAAAGAAAACTAAATTACATTTTGTGTTTCTTTTAAAAAACTTTGAAGATAAAATGTTTTGATCAACAGCAGCCAACAAGTTATCTGTGGTGATGTGTTTAAAAGTTATTTATTTTTAAGGGAAGAGCGGACTGAGACTGATCCTGTTCTTCATTCAGCTGTGGAAATAAATGGTTTGTGGAAAACAATCAGTAACACTCTACGCCGTCAAGGATTAAAATCCTGCAGTGCACGCAAGGTGGCCTTCCTCAAGCCAACGCATGTCAAAGCCCGTCTGATGTTTGCAAATGACCATCTGAATGATCCAGAGGAGGAATGGGAGAAGGTCATGTGGTCRGATGAGACAAAAARANAACMTTTTGGTTTAAACTCCACTCGTCATGTTTGGAGGAAGAAGAATGATGAGTACAACCCCAAGAACACCATCCCAACCGTGAAGCATGGCGGTGGAAACATCATTCTTTGGGGATGCTTTTCTGCAAAGGGGACAGGACGACTGCACCATATTGTGGGAAGGATGGATGGGGCCATGTATGGTGAGATGTTGGTCAACAACCTCCTTCCCTCAGTAAGAGCACTGAAGATGGGTCGTGGCTGGGTCTTCCAGCATGATAACGACCCAAAACACACAGCCAGGGCAACTAAAGAGTGGCTCCGTAGGAAACATCTTAAGGTCCTGGAGTGGCCTAGCCAGTCTCCAGACCTGAATCCAATAGAAAATCTTTGGAGGGAGCTTAAAGTCCATGTGGCCCAGCGACAGCCCCCAAACCTGAAGGCTCTGGAGGAGATCTGTATGGAGGAGTGGGCCAAAATCCCTGCTGCAGTGTGTGCAAACCTGGTCAAGAACTACAGGAAACSTCTGATCTCTGTAACTGCAAACAAAGGTTTCTGTACCAAATATTAAGTTTCATTTTTCTGGTGTATCAAATACTTATTTCACACAATAAAATGGAAATTAATTATTTAAAAACCATACACTGTATGTATCGTATCGCCACATTCTTGCCAATACACAGCCCTACTGATGAGTCTTTATAGATTGATCTGTACATGTTAGCTTTGTAGAGAGGTAATAAAGTGATGTGTGAATGGGTAAATGATTGAAGTGTGAAGTGCTTTGAGTATCCTAGTTGGATAGAAAGGTACTACACAAGTAGTCTATTTACCATCCATGCCCAATGTTTTTCAAAGTGACCAGTCTGAACAGTCATGTCTCATTTCATCACAGTCTTATAACTGAGGTAGGGGCATACAGATCTACATATGGATATAACACGTTAAACAACCCTACTAGAGGCTGAGCATACAGACCCTGTTTGGGGAGGGCCTCAGCGAGTCTCCTCAGGCTCGTCAGGCTGTCGGCTCCCAGCTGGTTCAGGATACCAGGCAGCATCTCGGTCAACTGCTTGGTCTCAGCGTGGCCGGTGATGGTGAAGGTGTTGGCTGCCAGGGAGGCCTGCACTTTGGGGTTGTTGAAGTGGATGACTGTTCCTTGATTCGTGAACATGTTAACCTGGAGCAGGACAAGTCCTTACAAAATTAGCAACACAAACCCAAACATCACCGGAGCAGATTCACCTGCAGGACGGATCTATGAAGCTGACCTCTTCGATACCGGAGATGTTATTAACGCCGAGTTTCTTTAAGGAGAACTGAAGTTTCTTGTCGTCTGCGGTTGCTGTTCTGTGTACGACCTTCTTCTTTCTGCGAGCACTTCCCTGCGAGAGTAAAAAAAATAAAAAACTTTTCTGTGTAAACCTACAGATCTCTTCCTAATGACACAAGGAGTTTTTTATGGTTTACAGGAGATTTGTGTGTGTGTGTGTGGGTTACATCATGCTAAATATTCACATATCTTCATGTATGGAGAAAGTTGTGTGAAATTCAAATTTTAACTTGTTGCATTAATTACCTTTCCGCCGATGCGGACTTGCGCTTGTAGTTTTGCAAGTTTCTCTTGATTCATAATTGCTTCTTTCATCTGGAAAAAAAAAATCTTGTATATGAAACATTGTCAGAGTCACATGTGCAGGTTTGATCCTGGAAAACGCCTGACAAAAGCTGAGAATGTTTCAATGCGGTTAAAACTAATTCAGGGAGGTACTAGGGTTGGGCATTACCATTTCTTGTGCAATTAATCGTCAGAAAAACATTAATTGATTATTTTTTTGGCACTTGACGATTAATACGATTAATTCCACCAGGCAGACTGACTGGAGATTTCCCTGGTCGGTCCGCTCGGTGCTCCTCTACGCTTCAAACATGACGAACATTAAAAAAAAAAAAATTATTTATCTATCAACACAATTTAAAATTTGACGTACAGCCCGAAGTCTGTAATTTCGACAATTTGTAACAGATTTTTATGAAGAGCAAATATTTCCCACTAAATTGGTCATGGGACCAGGACATAAAGGTGTCCAGAGACTCCAGGGYATTAATCGTCAAATTAATCGTCACCGGCTAAAAACCACAATTAATCGTGATTAATTTTTTTGCCAATACCGCCCAACCCTAGCGAGGTACAACTGCTGCGTGATGCAGAAACTTCAACACAAACATCATGATGCTAAAGACTTTAATTCAATAACAAAACCTAGGGGTGCACGACAGTTATCGGCCCGATATCAGGGAATCATGACATCATACTTATCAGTCCGATATCATAACAATCAGAACCGATAATATATGTACATGTTTGCCAGCGCGGCGATGAGAATGTGTGTTTATTTTTATCCTTTTTGGTCAAGCTGCTTTCCGTCCGACGCGACCCGAGCAACGTTCAAGTTGCGTCGGAATAAACAACTTTCTCACTAGAAAAATAATGAGAATACTCCGTGCTGAAAAACAACCAGTCATTTTAAGAGTTATTAATATTATTTTACCAATTAACGCTGTATGTTAAACACAAACTTTATAATTATAAACATCGAAACAACTACCCACAATCTGAGAACATGTAATGTTCGTTACTTGAACGCAGCACAGAGTCCGTCTGCTAAAATGCTAACAACAACAAGCTAGCATTCAAGAACTCGTCGGACTTTTGACAAATCTAATAAAATTGCCAGAGATGACGCAGATCTCAAGATCTTTAACGTTGGAAATGATGACACCAGCCGTTCACCCTCGCTAAAGACCGAAGCTTTTATCTCCTTTAGGGCTGCACCAATTAATCGATTAATCAACAACTAATCGATTATTAAAATAATCGATGACTAATTTAATAATCGATTAATCGTTTTCTTTTATTTTTTTTGTTCTTTACTTTATTTTTCTCTCCAAACTGCTTTGACACCTTCCACTGCCACATCTGCCTTTCTGTCCTTGACACACATGCACAGTAGTGGTGACTGGGGTAGGCCGTGGACGTCACAAGTAGGGCTGCACCGATTGGTTGAAATAATCGATGACGTCGATTATGTAAATTTGTCGACGCAGATTTTATATTATCGATTCTCTGTATTACATAACCACCAGGTGAATGTTGATGCAGTTCCATTTTGTTACCTAAATGCTTCATTGCGACCGTATTGTCATAAGAGTGGTGAGTTTTCCATGAAAATATTACAATTACAATAATATTACAATTACAGAAAATATTACAATATTAAAGAACTGTTCTTGTTAATTTGATGAAAACATTTTAAACATCCAGTGCACTCACATTAGAATAACTTTTAGATTTGTTGTTAGAATAATCGATTAATCGAAAAAATAATCGTTAGATTAATCGATTAGAAAATAATCGTTTGGTACAGCACTAACCTCCTTGTTAACCACGGTTTACCACGCCGAGCTGCTGCTAACTGTGTGTGTCTTCCTGTAAGTACGATGCGGTCGTAATGCATTCACACTTTGATTGACAGGTTATCATTTCTGCACTATTATCTCAGAAGCACTGTTTCAGGTAGAAAATAAATGTTTGAAATCATACTAATAATGATAAAAACAAATGTAAGTTGAATCTAACTTGTGTTCTTAGTGCATTATCTGTTTTGAACTTGTGGAATGACTTTTTCTCTTTTGTTTAAATCTGAGATCAGTGTTAAAGGTCTTTTTATAATTAATGTGCCTTATTTAAAAAAAATGGTCATTTGAGAAATTGATTTGTTTGATATATTTTAAGAAATGTTTGCTAAGAGTTTACTTCAAATGGTATAATTTACGGTGTCACTTGGTTTTGGTGATTATTATTTATGTTATGATCTTACCCATTTCTGACTAGTTTTATCTCCTGGCATGTTTTCGGTTATCAGTATCGGTTCTTAAAATGACTTATCGTGCATCCCTAATAAAACCCTTGAAAAATTACTAACATAACAAACGGCAACGGTTTGCAGACAGTGGAGGCAACACATCTTACATGATCAGGTACTATGCTATCTTGAAATGAACGCACTAACTTTAGCATTAGACATTAGTGAAACATGTCACTGTGCTGCTGTGTGGCATATTGTGTCGGCCACAACTTAAATGCAAAATTATTTTGGAGTTGCTGGATTGTGTTTTTGATAAGTTTTAAGATAAAGGTGATAAAACTGAATGCCTCTGTAGCTTTAGTCGAGCCGCTCTTTAGCCGAACGTGCTTTTCATAAACGTGTTGTGATTTCTGCCATTTCCGTGTGCGTGTATAATCTTGTTAAAAACCCCTTTGAAATTTAAAACACAATAAAACTCCAAACATCACTTCAATAAAAAGACTTGTCATGTAGTATACACTGATTTGTCATAACTAATAAAGCAGTGGGAAAGTAGTTATCGTATTCTAAGTATAAATGCACAAGTAAATAAAATTTCAGCATAACAGCTTTGATTTAGAGCTAAAATGTTGCTGTGAAAGTTTTGCCTGAGGTTATCAGAGTCATTATCTCACACCTAATCTCAGCAAAACTGTTTCATGATTTTTTTTTGCTGTTACTTAAATATGCTTTCACACTGGAATTTATTTATAATCTAACTTATTTAACTTTGTTGCACAAATTAAGAGGGTGTAAGAGAACAATAAATGTTGAGGGTCTCCGTTTAGAATAAGCAGATATTTTATTAACTCACATTTTTATCTGAATCTATTTGTCGTCATCAGATTTTGATAATTAACAAATTAGGACTGAAATCCTAATTTAATCCCAAGTATTGAGAGGAAATCAAAGCTCTGTTTGCTAAAACACCACAGGTTGTTTTAAACTACATGATTAGGGCTGCAACAAACAATTATTTTTATAATCGATAACCGATTATTTATTCGATTAGTCGACTAATCAGATCATACGTTAATTGAATATTAAACATTCAGTTTATCGCACCAGTATACAGCTGCTATTATATAACCATGGTTAGAGTTTAGCTATATGCTAACTAAAAATAATAGCTGTGGAAGGTAAGTTCTGCTCTGCAGATATTACACAGGTTTCTCTTTCATTTTCTTAAAATGATCCCACACTTTGAGCTCTGTTGTCAGGTAGCCATGATACCAGAGCCTGTCTGTATAATGTCTTGGACAGAAAGGCAGACGTGGCAGTGGAAGG